GAACTTTTGCTTGTGCATTATTGATTTATCATAACATTTCCATGGTTGAGACAGCAATTCTTCAATTAAAAAGTAAAGTAGACTATTTAGAAAGGAATAAATGAATGTATCAAGAAACAATTTAATTTTCTAATTATACGCACATCAAAAAAATGTGCCTATTAGACAAGATTTGAAATACCTACACCGCTTTGCCCGTTAAGGTGAACAGATTTTTTATTTAGCTACTGAATAATGACATAATAACATGTTTGCCTTGTCTTGAGTTTATTTGTATTAACAGCGTATTTCCCTGCTCCTAAACACACGGATGAGGGATATTTAGTTCAAAGGACGTTGAGGGACGTCAGGAACGTTTCACTTTAAATGCGAAAACATTGAGACTGAAAAATCAAAGATGAAAGCACCTGTCGAGGTGAAAAGAGTTCGGAGAATTAAAGAACCTAATGTTTTTAAGGTTACCTTCTGAAAAGCTTGTGTTTTTGACCAGAATTATTGGCTTTTATTGGCTATCAATAATCAAATAATATGTTTTAAAAGGATGTTTTCAACAATATTCTATTTAAGTTAGTTTGTGTACGTGTAACGTATACATGTAACTGACACGTTGATCATGATGGTTTTCATAATTTACTTTTCGCATCATAGCCAGTTTTCACTTTCTATGCATATTGATCAAATTTCTATGTTTACAAAGTTAAAAATTTTTACATGATTTTGATCCACAACATTTGTATTGTTTTTGAATTAAAGATTTTAGTTGGCTACATATAACGATACCTTTTAAAATTAATATATTGGGTTATAAATTATTGTTTGTGTTTAGCGTTGAAAACCATGGAAATGTTTGGGCAAATGTTTGCTAACACGGTTAATACATCAGAGCAAGATAAAAGGAATACTTGCTGAGTTATTTCACTCTTCATTACATCTCACATTTTTGACCGTTAACAAAAATATATGTGAATAAGGAAGATATAAACGAATCTCAATGGTTACATTGCATTCTTGTTTCTACTTAATATTTCAAAAGGCAATAAAGATTACGTTTGTGTAAATATTTGCATATAAAATTCCATTACTTACTAGGTCCTGATGTAGACGTTATACCAATATCGGCATCACTGTCATTATCATTTAGTAGATATAGCAACGATTCCTTTTCTTCAGAAGCTGAAGCAATGTAAATATGAAGCATTTAAGTATGATAATATTACTAAAAAGTATTGCAACAAATGTAAGCTTTTATTTGTTAAACTCCACACAAAAAGAAAGTTTCCTTCTAGCTATTTAACTTTTTAACAGATTTTTGGGAGCTGTAAATGGCTATTTGTTTCCGACAAAGTGTCATATATTTTGTAAACAAACTTGATCATACTGATTTCGTTGTGACTGTAAGATGGTCTTACTAGGAAGAATCTGAGCGTATTTTTAAAGAATCAAAAAAAGATGTTCAAAAAATTATGTTAACTATAGGTATTTGGCTATGCCCTCGAATGGTACGCAGTACTTTTACTTTTTACTATAGTCTGTTTTCCCTTTAATACTTTCTACATTTAATGCACATTATTTAGAGTTCTATTCAAGCCTAAAATCAAAGTAATTTAGTCACCAATAATAACAAATGATAATCAGATCGGTAATGCAAATTTTAGATGTTTTAATTGATGATCAGAAAAAGAAATATCCAAAAGGATTTGAGACGTTTGCAAATGATATTAGACATAATGCAATCTTGGTGATATTTTCGTCGTCCTCTTTCCTAAAGATAATCTGGACGAGCGACGCAGGTATTCTAGTTTAAAAATGATAGTCCTCGTTTTCTTTTGAAAGCTTGTCTCAAAGATTTCTTTAAATCTTTTTTGAAAAATCTGCTAGTTCTCATGTAGATAACATGTGAAAACTACATTTTTAATTCACATTTTTTGTAACTTTTTCATCAATGAAAAAAACAAAATGTATCAGACAAAATAAAAAATGATGGTCCCATAATTTAAACTCTTATGTTTCTTCAACTTTAATTAGCAACATGTAGTTAATGGAATTCACACAAAACATTAATATACAACATACAAATGACACACAAAAGTACATGAGTAAAAAAAAATACAATTGACTACTCTACTGACCTTGAACTTTGTTTATAGTAAAAACATCAATACATTTTTCATAAAAATAAATGTATAAAATAAAATGGTAGCATCATGTAACCTTTTACTTTATTCTTTTAATGCAAAAGTTCAATTTTCTCAGTTTTTTGAATAGCTAAAATATACAGTTAGAAAAATTTGTATCAATATAAACCAACATCCCTCAACTATACTCAGCTACGCTTCGGAAGATAACATTGACCTCGGTCTGAATAATTCTTGATATTGCTCAGACTCATCCAATAATTATTTATTACGCGCGGAAAATTCCACCTTGTTGAAAATAGCCTTAAAGTACATTCATCACAAAAAAATTGCAATTGTCGAATAAAAGAAAAGTGCCCTCTTGAAAGAAAATGATTTAATCACTTGTTTACAAGGCCAAACAAGAACAGATTGTAACGAATCAACACTGTACATTGGTATGACGGCCGGATGTTTCGAGCGTTACACCAACCATACTCATCGTCCCAGCAAGGGTATAGAAACGGAACTGAGCTATTTAAATACGCATGGCTCAAGGAACGAGACAAACCATTCAATATCTCATGGTGTCTGTAGTAAAATGCGTATACCGTCAAGATTAGCATGAAGTAAATTGTACTGTGTATGTTTAGAAGGAACAACTAACATCATGAAGTCAAATCGAAAGTACGAAAGGTCAGAGATGTTAGCTAAATGCCTTGATAGGAAGTGCTTTTTGCGCATTTATGAATATTAATATTTGTATGCTTTTTGTTTTGCAACGTTTTGATGCTTCATGCATCACTTTCAAGCAACGTATAAGTACATAACCATATTAAAAACAAATAACGTAAAACCGTGTTTGAAGGTCACGATTGAAATAATTGTGTTAAAGTGATGAAAATTAAGTAAAATATTAAATAAATAAATTTGACCTAGTTACAGAATCAAAAAACATTTTGCAGACATCCAACATAAACGTACATATCTACACTCAAATCTACTTCAATGAAAATCAATATGACTATTGTTTAAACGATTCTTAATGACAATGAATTTAAACAGGTCATGAATACAATGACATTTGCTTTGTGCGATGTACATTTAAAGATTCGACAGATTCAACATAGATACGTCAATTGCAGTCTAAGAGAACTGTCGGCAATGTATAGTCCTATCAAAATGTTATTTAGAAAATAGTATCCACTGACGAGCAATGGATTACATGCGCAACAGGAAACCGACTACACATGCAGTATTTCTACACAAGTATGCAACGCTTTTTTTTTAATTGAAGATTGGTGTACTTCATTAAATACATCATAACGGAAAACAAAAAGATAAATGAGATTTCGTAGTTTACGTGAATCATCAAAAATCAGCATCATGTAAACATATATTGAAAAGACTTATCTACCTGTTTTTGGAAGTTCTCCCAAACTTCTTTCATCGTCTACTATAAAAAATAACATGAGAAATACGTACGTCTGTTTTTTGTATCAAGTATATTGTTTAAATGTAATTCAAAGTTATACATATTTATACATATATAACTTTGAATTACATATTCAAACAATACTTGATATGATTTACTACCCAGTGTTTCACGCCTATATTGACGATTTTCAGTTAAATTAAAATAATAAAACTATGGCTCTGTTAATCAGTGAACTTATGTACTAATCATCATGTAGATGATTTCACTGAATATTCAAATTTAAATTGAATCAGTGGTTTAACTTAACCTTATAGTAAGAATGTAACAACCAACGTTGCAAACAATTTCTTTGCATGATAGAAAAGTATTTAACCACCCTCTTTAAATCTTTACAAAATCTTAACAGCACAAACCGCCCAATATTAAAAGCACAATCGTCAACCACAACCGTTCTATCACAAATAAATCTAAAGCCTTTTTTTAACCAGGCGGAATTTTCCGCGCGACGCTAAATTTGCAACATGATTGGTTGTCATACAATAATGACAAAATCATCTACCAATCATGCGCGTTATTAAGCCCTTAATAACCGAGCTTGAGGTCTTTACGGAGAAATATCGGACCGATGTCTTTTTGTAAAGACCGAGCCCGTAGGGCGAGAGAACATCAACACTACCTTGGTTCAATTAATTTATCAACTGAACTTTTAATTCTCCCGTATCTCCTTCACGAGCCTCAGAGCTTTACTAAGATGGAGACTAAATTAGGATATCTTAAGATAAACCAAGTTGAAATATTTATTTAACATTTACACCTTAACGTAGCCAGCCTGCACATTTCCTATGGTTATGTAAATTCTCATGGATAACCATTATTCATCTTTTTATAAATCTATTCTTCTCACAGCTAGTAAACACAAAAACATTTGGATACAAGTGGGAGTAAAAAGTCGAGCTGGCTACGTTACTGCATTTACACCTTACACAATAATACATTGACCTAAATATAAGCAAGCATGTAAAGCAAACTCTAAACTTACTTTTGGACATGAAAGTAAAACATGTCAGACCAAGCCTCAAGAACTTGGAGTCATTATTCGAAAACTAATCCTTGCAGGTGAGGAGTGGCGTTGCTATCCCACAAATTTAGTCCTGCTATGTAAATTTTAATGTGTTTACTTACTGTGAAAAAAACAGATGGGAAAAGAACAATAATGATCTGAGATTTACATAGCATACACAAAACTTGTGGTCTGGTTGTATGTACAAAACTATACTTTGATGCAACTGCTCAATCTGATAAGATCGTGCTTTGCTTTGAAAAATTAGACAACCACTCATTCCAACTTCACTTACCAGTTCTTTTCTCGTTTTCATTTAACTGCATGATTCCATCAACGGTGTCTTGCAGAACTTGATCAGGCAGCTTAACATCCAAATCCCTTTCTATCTCATGAGCTAAACCTCCTTGCTTACACTTTTTCAATGCTAGGAGCAGTGCTCTTACATTGGCATGTTGTCCGTCTCTATCAAACCAAGTGTCCAACACATATCGTGGGGTTACCAGAGAATTTCTCAGCAATGATGTTTTCTTTACCTTGTGGCAAATTCACTGCTTTGTACAGGCTTGAAAAAGTCAATTTGTGCTCAGTTAAGGAATAAAACTTTACTAAAACATTTAGTTACCTAAAGATAAAACATCAACTGAGTTAAAAAACTTTAATTCATTTGAAAATCACCTTCTCCAGTCATTCTCTAATAACTCATTGCCTTTGTTTAAGCGTTCTTCTAACTTTCTTTGAACATGGTCAGGTAGATCTGAACAGGTCGTTTCAAGATTAAACTGGGCTGTGGTCTGACCAGTCAGATGAGCATTTGTTGACTCCTGATAGAATTGTCTCTCATCAATTAGTTCGCCAGAATGAGTAGCTGACAAATCAGTGAGATGAATTTGACTTACAGGATATGTAAAGGGATAAATATTTATATGTAATAACAAGGAGGAATAATTATTACATTTTTTACATACCTTTTATTGACTGCCTCAAATCATGGGCAAGTTGCGGCTGATTTATATCCAAGGTTTTGAAAAAACATTGGAATGCATCAGGCCCTATACGCGGAAGCACATCACATATAAGCTTTTCCACTTTTTTGTCCAAAGATAGTTCTTGCAACACAGCTCTGATGTTGACACCAGGATTTCTGCTTGTGATCGCCACATTGTTGGATAAACTTTCAACCATTTGAGAGACATTAAGTGATTGCTTAAACGTGGACAAATGGCTCACAAGAATTTGACGATGGACCTCTTTCATTCCAGGCTCTTCAGTTTCTCCTAAATAAGACAATGGTAAAATAAAAGGTTTAAAACTTTCTGATGTTTCTGTTTATATATAAGAAGATGGTTTTTCATTAAAAACTTCTGCAAGTGAAGTCGATATTTGCATTCTTATCTTCTAGAGAATTTTACATCTTCAGAATGAATAAATAATAGACAGGCAAACAAGCTCACAGTACGTAATATATAACAGTATAAGAAATAAAAAATGTCGTACTTTGCGTAGCACTAGGAAGTATATGGTTCACATTAAGTCCGGCTAAGTCAGCCAAGTATTCCCCAACCCATCTTTGAACTTTAAGTGTCGCTCTAATAAAGGATATAAATGCTTCATCTCCTCGCCGATGCAGCAAATTAAGAAGTTCCAAAGTACGAGCTTCAGGGGTGGATTCTGCTCGAATTTTGTCTTCGCAGTTACGATCCAGAACGTCCGTCATTTGTGGCCAAACAGCATCAACCTCAAGATTTCTTTTGATATATTCCCTGTTTTTTCTTAAAAATTCGCGATGCGCTTCAGACATCGCCATTATCACCGAATATCCGAAATACAGGCACTTCGATTTCGTTGTAAACTATTCTAGAGCTTTTCTACACCTAAACATTCCTTGGTAAAGTTACAATTCCCACTTCCCATTCATCGCAATGACAGTGGTAATGACGTATGAAGGTTTTTCCCCCGCTGGGCCGCTTCCCCAAACTCGTCCAGCGTCTTACCAGGGTCCTGCTCTCCCCTGTTTTTCAGCAAATTTTCATCTTTATGAAGCAGCTCGATGAAGAAGAAATAACATTATTTGTCTTCTTTTTGATATCAAAATGAACAAGCTACTGATAGTTTGGTCGGTAAAGACATAGGCGTACGGGCACATATTTTTAGGGGGAGCTGGACTAAATTTGCCCGAATTATATGACGTCATATGACGTATGACGTCATAGATATTCTTATGTTGTCTCTGGCCATCTCAATTAATAAGCTAAAATCATTACAATTTGCTAAGAGGATGCTACGAAAGTAACTACATTTTATTTGATATTTGAAATTTTGTCATATATAACACTAGACGCAGAAGAAATTTAGTTAGTTAAATGTGCGACGATCTAAGACTAAAAGAAATAAGATTTACGATTACGTCGCTGTCCAAAATGTTAATTATCTTTTCCATGTCGTTCTTTAAAGTACTATTTGCATAGGCTCTTTCCACATTGATTAGGGCAATGCTGTTTAACCGTTTTTGACCAATTGTACTTCGAAGATAGGTTTTTAAGCGACGAAGAGCGCTAAAAGATCTTTCTGCTGAGCAGGATGTTGCCGGGATCGCGGCCAGAATCGAAAATACTTTGTAAGCCACAGGCAGGACTTCATGAACACCATTTTCGAACATTCTCTTAACAATTTTGGCAGCGTTTTCTCTCTCAGCATATCTGAGGAAAAGAGATAATTGCTCTGTTCGACTGATGTCTGCCGTTTCATCGACAACTATTCCGTAGTAGTCGCTACTTCTTGCTTCTTCTGCTATCCTCTCAAGCATGACACTTGCTACTATTTCCAGTAGTTCATTTTGAATAGCAGGGGATGTCCACTGAGCATGTGTCTGCAGCTGGCTTTGAAGTTTAGATTTCAGCCAAGGCAAATCGTTGCATCTTATGCAAAGTAACTCGAGAAAGTTTCCTCTATTTATATCAGATATCTCCCATATATCACCCCGAATCTCTTCATGACCTCTAATTGCAACATTTTGTTGTGCAGTGTACATCAAAGATTGTATGATTACTTTTAAGTATTGTCTGTTAATAGCAACCTGGTCCTGGTGTGCACTATTCAGCTGTTGTAGTACGGAGGTTTTCTTTCTTTCCATTGCTTTAAACTGGAGCCATCTTGTCATGGATCTGACGTGGTTCTCACTCTTGCCATGTTTTGCCAGCTTTGACGACTTCTTCCAATTTGTAAGCACAAATGAAGTATTCTTCCCAAATTCTTTACAGGCAAAACAAACGCATGCATCTTTATCCACTTCGTAACTAATCCATGGATATTTCTTGTACCATTCAGGCTGAAATCGTCGCACAAATGTTTCACTGCCGAATTTTCGTGCAGGATATTCACCTAATATAGGCTGTTTTGGGGCGTGCAAGGTGGAAATCTCTTCTTCATTCATACTGTTAAGGGAAACCTTTCTAGTGTGTTCATTTAGAACAGATGCTGTTGAATCTAAATCTTGTATTGCTGTTGTGTCTAGAGTGTTAGACGTCGTCGTTGATTCTGGTGTTGCAACGCGTTGTATATTTTGATTTAAGTTAAATTCTTCGATGAACAGTGCGTCACTGGAAGTAAGATTTTCATTATCCGTGACCGTATTCAATTCTTTATTTTCTCTGAACTGCGTCAGTGGATTTAATTCATCAACATCAATAAACGTTCTCATTGGTTCCGTTTGGTCTTCGCTTATGGGCTCCTTCAAATTAATCTCAGGTAGATTTTCCTCAAAAGACCCAGTGGCTGCTAAATCTTTACTAGCACTCGATTCTGTTTCCTGTAAGGTTAGGTTATCATCCTTGGTTGTCATGTTACTTTTTACAAAGAAACCACTGATCTTTGACTGCGATAAATCCGATGAATCCATCACTCGATGACACTTAACTTTTCATTATTGTGAACTCGTCGAAAGTGGACCTCCTTATAATCACTGTCAATTTCCTTGCTGCATTCCTCGCACCAAACGCGATGTCGATACGGTCGTTTACGAGACGCCATATGTACGCTTTATTAGAGCTTGGCTACTAAATGTTTTCCCTTGTGGATAATAGTTTCCTTGAACAACAATCATAGAGTGAATGGCACTAATCTAATCAATGGAATGGACAGTGCCTCTCCATACGAAGCCTAATTTTCATGCAAAAATTAAAAATCACTTTTGGGGATCGCAGCGATTGTTAATCTATATATTAATGTATAACGGATAGCGTGTGGGAGACGATTTTTCGCAATTTCAAGACATTTCAAGACTTTTACTGACCTCAGCCCTTTTTTATAAATGGAGAACGTTATGTGGATAAATTTAATACCAAAAGCTTTGCTCTGATTGAAAATATCGGCGTTCGTGTTCGTTTAAAAGTTGTAAACACCGAATATATTCGTCGCAATATCGCTAGTAAATAGACCGATTTCTCGTGACGTAATTTGTTTATATTATAATGGGGCGGATGTAAAATTCTCCTATTATGTCTCAAGAAAAATTTTGCACCCAATCACTTTACGCGATTTTTATTTTACCTCCTGAAATTTAAGTAATTTAAACAATTTAAAAACCATCCATTAAAAGACCGTTCACGCTCAAGAACCGAAGCAGTTTATGATCTAGAAATGATGTAGATTAATATTGAAAATCTAAAAACTGTAGTATCTTGCCAGAATATCATGTAAATGCTTGCCCGAATACACAAATTCTCGAGAAATTGGGGCTGCAGCCCCCCCAGCCCACCCCCCCCGTACGCCTATGGGTAAAGAAGTAAATGTGTATATTGCGTTGCTGAATTATAGAGAAAATTCTTAGCCAACACTGTATTTTTATAATTTTTTGTTCTTGTACATTTGTACTTTAGGAATACAAATTGACATGAATGACATAATGACTATTTATCAGTAATATTTTTAAGACTGAAGTAGTGTACCTAATGTTAAATTGGATAGTATTGCTTGGTATTGCCCTGGTTTTGCCGATTTGCAATCGATTCTGACCGATGATTCTGACAGATGGGTACAAAATAAACTGGTCATTCTTTGGTGGATTTTCGAAATGGCCTAGTTTTTGTTGAAAAATCATTGGTTTTGTATGAGAATTTTGAAATTTAACTATGCTGTTATGTTGGTTGAGGTAATGTGCATTTTGACATAGACATGCTTCATACAAAGTAATTAATTTCACCCTTATAACTTTTGCTATCTCAGGTGGGATGACTTGACTGTCTATCAAGCAAAGTCACACTCTGTTATTTTTTAAGAAACATTTTCTTATAATGGTGAAAAAGCCATGGAGAAAAATCTTGTACGAAGAACAAAATCACCCAGATAATTATGTTGACGAGTCTTTCCTGTATGAATTGAAAAAAAATGGTAAATATTTGAGTGAAATCTAGGAATGGTAAAAGATCGATAATTATGCCTACGATTTGAGTTGGATGCGTATAACAAAGTATATTTTTTAGTATACACGAGAAACTATCATTTCTGGATTGTCTCCAATGAAGCTGGAAGAGTTTCACAACAATTTAGCAGGTTAAAATCAGGCTATCTTTGACTATCATCCTGTTCGTCAATTCAATTTTTGGGAACTGTAAATGGTTGTTTGTTTACGACAGTGTCATATATTTTGTAAACTTGATCATACTGACTTCGTCGTGACTGCTGTGTAAGATGGTCTTACTAGAAAAAATCTGAGCGTATTTTTACCATATCGAAAGAGGATTTTCAAAAAATTATGTTTACTATAGGTATTTGGTTATGCCTTCGAATGATACGCAGTACTTTTACTTTTTACTATAGTATGTTTTCCCTTTAATACTTTCTACATTTAATGCACATTATTTACAGTTTTACCCAAGCCTAAAATCAAAATTTCAGCATTAATGTATACGATTTGAAAGCATCTGCTGACTTAAAGCAAAGGATACGCAATATTTATTATTGCATATGTGTTCTTTACAAGTTTGAAAACATAATAAGCTATAAGCTTCTTTTTACCATACGATAAAAATATGCCAAAGTCTCTGAATCACCATGATTCGTAGGTACTCTTCACTATCTTTGGATATCTGACAAATCGTTAATCTCATCTAAAGATTTTTGACTATTGCTAGTACTATCACACATGCTTGAACCGTTATTTTCAGTCGCACAAAGTTACAAAATGATGCACCAGATAAAAGTGGAGAGATTACGGTTTTTGGTAGAATATTTAAGAAAAGTGACACGTACACAGCATTAGTTTGTTGTTACATAGCTATTTACCGTTAAGATCAGGGTAATCAATAACAGCTTCGCTTTTCTTTCCCTTGCCTTCTTCAAGTTTTGCAGGATGTTCACTGTCTAAAAAATGTTTGCAACGGCAATATACAGAATTCAAAACATGCATGCATTAAGTACAGTAAATGAAGAGGAGAACTAGAGTGAAAATAACAAATATAGTATCATGGACCCCTTATTTATAGCTTGGTTATCAAAAATGAAAACTCATTTCTGTGTCTTACTTGCAAAATGTTTCTTTAGAACAGGTCTTGTCTTCCAGTCACTCAATCTTATGGTTCTATGAACTAGAACAGGCAGTTCCTTAAAGAGTTGAAGAAAATACTCTTGATAGTTTCCATGACAGTTGTGGACGAGGGTTATCAAACCAATGCTGGCGAACGTTTCGTAAAAATCTTAGGCAACCTAACCATGTACAGTCGGATACTTTATTGAAATGTTTAAAGACTTCATGATCGATACGGTCCATCAATCTATTGAAAGATTCAACTGCTCACAAACATCTGAGGTAAGAGAATGTCGAGATGATGTCTTGATTTCTGGTTCATTCCCAACATCACATAGCAAATCAAAATTGACCTCATCGGTTTGTAGATAAGGGTGTTTTAACGCTTCGTTGGCCGATGGTCTGTCTTCCGGTTTTAGCTGTAGCATCCACGAAAGTAGATCTTTTAGATCGACATTATCTATTTTCTCCAAGCCAATAGAGTTTCCTTTCAATATATTCTCTTCAATTTTAAAAGGTTGGTTTCCTTT